GCCGGAGCTGCTTGTACGTAAGGCAGATGGGCCGCTGTATTATTCATACATTAATGGAGATCATTGATCAGGGCTTCGCCAACTAATCTGTCTTTATGTTGCTGCAAGTGTAAATGCACACTAAAAGTTAATGCATGAATACTTTTCTACAGGCCCAGGATTGAAGAAATGCATCTGGTGGTTGAGGCTAAGCGTATCGAAAATAATGGAAGTGCATGCCTGAACCAGCCATCAAGTGTCTTGCTTTAGGAGTTCAAATGCCTGGATAGTAATGTCTTACATAGACTCCCCAACCCCTCCCGCATGTGCCAGGTTAACTCCTGGCTGGCGCATGGGTCGATAAACTTTTGTGCCTGTTTTTTTTTTTCCCGATTCCGTGCCTTTTCAGTTGGTAGTTGGTGTATGTGGTCTCCTGCGTCTGTGATCATAAACAGATACAGTAAAACCTGACTAATTCGAACTTGGTTATTTCAAAATCTCATTTAATTCGAAATATTTTCGTGGTCCCGTATTTTCTAATGCAAGTCTGAGCGGATAATTTGAAGCGGTGGTCAGCACCAGTTCAGTGAATCTGAAAACTTTAGAGGCCTTGTGCTAATTCTCGATCCCTATTTCACCGCAAATTTGTGGAAACAATGGCACTTAAAAACCACAAGGCAATGCAATATAGCAATACTAAAGAGTGGCAGCTCAAGCACTCCAGTGGAGCTACTTCCAGGAAAAAAAAATGGAAAAGAAAGATTGGGCAGATCCCACATATTTTGGGAATCGATGCTATGCAAAGCATGTGGATGGAAGGTGACTGTGTTGTAATTTTTTTACTGAGTGACACCATTATTAAGTGGCGCTAAAGATATGTACAAATGCACACATAGACATACGTTAAACACCCGCATAAGTTTTATATGACAAGTTGTTTACAGCTGTGTAACTATGCCTACAGCGACATGAATATTAGCAACACTTCAAGTGGTAAGTTCATATGAAGCGCTGGTGTTCACGAGGGTGGTAGCCTTGGGCATTACTACACAAATAAACTTCAGCGCATGGCACCCACACAGATAACCAGATGTGACGGTGGTATGAGAGGATTACACATTTCCACATGTGTTTGTTTCAGTTTAGTTGTATTTGGTTTATGGGGGGGCCCACAAAGACTGCCAGCAATGCTCGGCACAGATTACGCTTCAGTGTTCAAAAAGCTTAATGATCGTAGTAGATCATTTTGTCAAGATTTTGCACAAGACACGAGCACTCAAGCTTGTTCCAGAGATTGCACGACCACCATTGATAAGACTTGAAAGGGCGACGTGTGATGTATAAAAAAAGGTGCATCGCAACGGTGATCAGTTGATTGACGGCCAACGCCCCATTTGCTGCTAGTAGTGCCAGTGAGCTTCATCGATTTACCAAGTCCCAGATCACTCGCAGGCGGCCCGTGGATGCCTCGACTTATAGGCAGCTGTGTCACACGCACGTGATCTAAAAGTCTCGAGCCAGCCCGAGCGGCCTCGGGCCATCTGCGCGCTTGATGCTGGCTGCATCCACTGTGGCGTCTGCTATGCCTGGCTATGCCGTCTGCTCTTTCCATAGCTGTGACACAGGCCACAACGCTGACCCAATTCCAACCTAAACAGTAAATTGCATCACAGTAGAAACAAGTGTAATTCACTACCTAATAGCAGTTAGGTAGTGAAATATACTTATTTCTATTGTGATGCAACTTGCTGTAAGTGAACTACTCGAGCGCGTGTGCATCGTAGACCGGTGTGGTAGTTCCACCGCTGTTTCTCCTAGCGAGTATAACGCGTCTTTTTCCCGACCTTCGGGAATACCCACATCCTCCAAGTAGCTCAGAACATCGATGACAAGAACTGAGTGCGCAAACAATGCGAAATCCAGAAACATGCGAGAAGCGGACAGAAAAGCAAAGAGAGAGCAAGAGGACGTCAAAAATTTCTGTGTCTTACTTAAGATGGTCGCACTGGCATGCGCCCCGTGCTGCCAGCTGCCCGAAAGAAATCGTTTGGACGGTTCCGGGCCGCCCGCAGGCTGCCAGGCAAGCAAAAAACGAACATGCATCCGAGCATAGAGTTTTATACAATAATGTATGAAATTCTATGCGTCCGAGCGATCCCAGACCAGTGGGCAGAGCTTCCAGTTGGTCCCCAAGAAAAACGAATGCGTCGCCGGCGTCCGGGGCCGTATGGAGCCGTCCGGGACGTGTAAATTGATGAAGCTCAATGTGTATTGCTGTACTCTGACTTCCCGTATACCGGCCACAAGTTTGGTCTAATAAAATTTTAATATTGGACATACAGTCTGCTGTCCTTGTCAATGTCACGAGCACATGACAATATGTGAGGTTTATTATTTTATCCGAGTACTGTAACCACAGTAGATGTTTGATGAACTTTTGGCTTGATTTGAAAAGTAGTTCCCAGACCTGGCATGGCTCTGTGATAAAATACTTGACTGAAACGCAGAATGCTGGTTTTAATTTTTACTGAGACCCTGACATTCGTTATTTGCATACGTATGTTGGGTCAACGCTGCAGATCTCAGATTTTTCCTAATGCTCACGTGTTAAAATTACTTATGTCTGTATTTGCCGCTCCTGCGCAGATATAAACTGTCAATCACCTGTGGCTAATACCAGCATACCAGTGGCACATACTTGGCCCTGGATATGTGCCACTGTTCGACGAAAGTGTTTGACGATGTGCGCGATGGGGTAGTGACATTATTCATGTGATGACCAGCGAGTCATATTAGTCAAGCCATCTTACCCTCCCAACCTAACTTTGGTTTACCCCAAGTGAAGAAAGTGATCATAAGAGCACCCAGGCTAGGCGGATGGACGGACAAATGAAGGGACGCTCAAAGTGCCTGCAGTACACAAAGAAATGCTTCACATTTATAAACAGTCTCGTGGTCAACTGAAATGTGTGCCTGCGGAAAATGAGGCGTGCTTCTCTGCAACACAGTGGTGATGTGCAGGCAGCATGTCGCACACTTCTCACGACGTCAGCGCGTCATGATTTACCCATTTTTTCTGGGAATATGAAGAAATAAATAAAGGACAGTTTTTTAGAATTCCCGATGTGTGGGAACCACTGATTGCCGGTTGCTCCAGAAATTTTCGCACTTGCTTTGCTGGTAGAGTGCTTGCCTGCAACATCCACTTTGAAAGCTCAATGTTCATGTTTTCCTGCCAAAACAGATCACAAATTTCGTCACATTGGCCATTATTATATCCTTTATTTTAACAAAAAATGGGTGAATGGCCTGCTGTCTTCTTTTCTACAGGCACACATTTCAGTGGTGATGACGACAGCTTTTTCTTTTTGCGGTGGGAGCAGCGAGGCCCATCTTCCCCTTTTGTTTGCGGTGAAATTGGGATGAGGTACGGTATTACTGAAAAACATAAACCTTGATGTTGCAAACCAGCATGCCCAGCAAATGACCAGCCCAGATTACTTCGAATAATTTCAAGTTCTTTTACTTTCTGTATGTTGCACTAATTTGAAAACCCACTTAATTAGAGATTTCTCATGATATCAGTGAATCAGAATTAACGAGGTGTTACTTTAAATGTGTAAAAGCACTTTCTCTTAGGCAAGCTGGGGTCTTTGTTCGCTAAACATGTTATTCCTGGCGCAGAACTTGAAGCATGAAGGAAGGATTAAAGGGGCAGACTGGTCTTAGACAATTTTTGTTTATTTCTTCAGTGATCTTGATCAAACTGCACAGTATTATGCAGTTTTTTCTGCTGATTTTAATTATTTAATTAGTTTTTCTATAACTCATCTTGCTCCTGAGATAACTTAACTTCACATCCTTTTGTTTAAGGCCTCCATATAAAAAAAGTGCTTAATTGAAAGTGATATTTGGGATATGCCAACATAGACTAATGGCTATGTATTGCAACTATGGAAGAGATTTTTGTTTTTAGGCCTTTCTTGGTTATTTTATAGCAAAATGAACTATTCATTTTCAAAAGCAGTTGGAATTGTGTTACAATTTTGATGAGTAATTAATTAAAAGGGCTTGTGCTCCAAATTATGCTCCGATACTTGCACTCTACACACACACAGGTTTCGATTGCAAAAAAAATATTGTTGTATCTGCGCTAGCTGCTGAGATATTGAGGCCTCAAAATTGGACAGTCGTACATTTACTTTTTTGAGAAAAATGGAAAAACTGATAACACACAGCTTCTTCAAAAAGCTACAATCATGGTGTGCACGATTTTCAATCCTCATAAAGGTGCTCATAAATTCGTAGCAGAGCTTCTAACACAGGTTTAGGCAAATTTTAAAGAAGCCTCAAAGTCGGTTCCCCATTTTTTTTGCAAGTTCTGCATGTTAACAGTTCTGAGAATCTGGACAGTTAGAATGACATTGCAAGAAAATTACCACGTCTCAGTGTGTGAAAATTTGCAGAGAGATAGAAAAATACTTGCAGAAACCAAATACATCAATTTCAAAAAATGAATTTTTTTGTCACTTTTTGGTCCCAAAGACCAGTCTGTCCCCTTAAGAAGAGACAGCTTCTCTGTAACGTCTTTGTCTAGAGATAGAAAAAGTTAAGTATGGACGAATATAGTAAGTTAGAGGTTCGGAAAGAATTCGAAGTGAAGATTTGATCTGATAATACCGAATGGAATAGGGCAAATATATGATGTAGCATTAAAAAACATTGGCTTTTTTATTATAACCCAATCGATTTGCACAATATTTTCAAGAATGGAAACTAGACATGTGTGAATATCACTTTTTTGGTTCCAATTGCAGTGGGAGCAACTCTGAGTATTAGCAAGATTTGTATGGCAGTAGGCTACAGGTTATAAGTGTACAGTACATTATGTTTCGAAATTTCCTATGCTTAGTGCATATATATCTATAAAAATATTATGTCTTTGCAATCATTTGGCATGTGCCACTGTGGACGTTCTTGTCCACTCATGTGCCTTGCGCTCAAGAACATTCGTGTGGCAGGGGAGGTCGTCGAAAGAAGGTGCTCCGCTACTGGCACCCCAAGGCCTTCCCATCTTCCTGCGTGGCCAACCTTGCCCAGCCAAGGCTGTCCTTCGCTCACAGTGAACGCAACTTGGTGTATGTGCCTTTGCGAGACCCTCGAGCCCTACCTCGGACAGCAGATGTCGACGGTGTTGACCCCCTGCGCATCCACGATGCTTCAACCCGTAACTATTTGCAAGGCAAGTTGAGTCTCTGATGATCTGTGGAGATCGCTGGTGTGCTAGCTGTATGAAAATTACATTTGTTCAACTTATGAATAATCTCTGGCATACCGTACAAAAGGGTTATTCAGCAGCAAAAGTCCACTTTTCTTTTACTTACATTTTTAACCGTTAGATAGACAAGTCACGTACGTGTTTCAAACAGCTGTCAAGCAGCAGACTGCAGTTTTTAGCCCTTGAAAACCACTACAGATGTATTTGTAAAAATAAAGAAATAGAAAATAGCTAGCAAATAGCTAGCAAAGGAAAGGTGTGCTCGTCATTCCTGTAAGCGACCTTTTATTGCGGCCTCGTTCAACGAGAAACGAGAGCAAGTGCCAAAGGTGTTTGCTGCTCGCCTCTTGCAGAACAGATGAAGTGTTTTTTATCTCTCTATCTCTCTCTGATCGTTGCCAATGCTTTATGCTTCATGCATTACGCTTTGTTAACCAATTTTCCGCATTTTTACTGAGATCAGCTTGTATTATCCACCAGCACCTGCACACCTAAATTATGCGTCGAGCTGTCTGATAACATTATCTTTATTTTATGCATCGAGCTGTCTGATAACATTATCTGTTTCTTAAAAGGAGAGACGATCCCTCTACCCCTGACTTCTTGAAAAATCCTCCTCCCCCTCATCGTCGAGAACCCTTATGCCATGGTTTCACATCAACAATTTCTCTTGTGCCGTGTGCATGGCGCAAAAGATGCAATGGCAGGGTCGCTGCGCCCCTACCGTGGACGGGTGGCGAAACATAGTCAGAAGCTTTTCCATTGTATTCGGGACGGTTGATAAGGTTGTAAAAAAACAAGTGCGCGCAGGTGCAGTCTAGCCGGGCCGTGTAAGAGTGTTCCACACTTGCTGTAATGGCAATAGATGGTGCCGGCTGAACCTTCCAGATTTAAACAGGGTAAGCGAAAATATTGAAAAAAAAAGTATTTTTTTTTCTTTTTGCATTAGTTGAAATCTGCAGTCTTTTCTGAACCAGAATTGGTCACTTGTTTAGTATATAATGAGGCGTTTTAGAGTGGCACTCTTTTATAAAACAGGAGAGCGGTCACGACACGTCAAGTGGTAATGGCGGAACTAGCCTGAGTACCCAGCCAACCAAACGTCGTCTTCTTCACCGACTGAGTCATACCCCCTGCCTTTCTGAGTAGCACTCATCTTCACTACATATTCCTCCCCTCCGGAAAAGAGCCATCCTGCGACTCATGGGCAGGAGACAATAGAGGAATCGTAATACGGTTTTAGGCGGTCTATGTGGACCGTCTCACGTCCACGGCGTCGTTGATCATGGGGCTGCTCAAGCGGCTCCACGATGTAAATAACGGGTGAAGTTTGTTTAACCACACGGTAAGGTCCGTCATACTTGTACATCAGTTTCGTTGAGAGACCAGGGCTGGTTGAAGGGATGCGAGGCCAGACAAGGTCATCTGATGCATAAGAAGCCGGAGGCGTCAGGCTATCGCGGTGGTGTTTTTGGCATTGCTGTTCAGCACTTGTTAGGGAGCGGGCAAGCTGACGACACTCTTTCGCGTATTTAGCAGCTTGTGACATCGTCGTCGACTCGGCAACATCCGGGTGGTAAGGAAGGATGGTGTCTAGCGTGCGAGACAGCTCGCGACCATAAAGGAGGAAATATGGAGAGAAACCAGTGGTTGTATGGACAGCAGTATTATGTGCGTAGGTTACAAAAGGGAGAATACTGTCCCAATTGGTGTGATCGGTTGTGACGTACATTAACAGCATATCTCCTAATGTACGGTAGAATCGTTCTGTGATGCCATTCGTTTGAGGATGATACGCGGTGGTGGTGCGATGAATGACTTGGCATTCCTTGAGAAGCGATTCGACAGGGTCCGACAAAAACACACGCCCTCGGTCACTCAGGAGTTCACGTGGTGCACCGTGACATAAAATGATCTGATGTAGTATGAAACGACTGACATCACTGGCTGACGCAGAAGAGAGTGGTGAAGTTTCTGTGTAGCGCGAAAGGTGATCGATAGTGATGATTACCCAGCGATTTCCAGCCAGTGTAATCGGAAGAGGTCCATACAGATCAATACCAACACGGTCAAACGGTTGGGCAGGACAAAGTAAGGTTTGTAGTGGAGCTGGAGAACTTGGAGTGGGATTCTTCCGGCGTTGACAAGCGAGACAGAAACATACGTAGCGACGAACAAAGCGATACATTCCACACCAGTAGTAGCGGTGGGCAGGCGGGTGTAGGTTTTTAACACTCCAGCATGGGTGCATTGTGGGTCGTCGTGAAAGGAGGCGCATATGTCTGAGCGGAGACGTCTGGGAATGGCTAGAAGCCATTGGCGTCCTTTGGAGAGATAATTCCGTCTGTATAGCAAACCATCTCTGATAACGAAGTGCTGTATTTGACGGCGCATACCTCTAGGGATATTTTGCGGGGGAATTCGACTCAACAAGTTGATAAGTGAAGCGATCCAAGGATTTTTTCGTTGCTCCTGTAACATGTCGCTGACACGAAGTGCAAATACGTCGGGGGCAGGCGAAGACGACGACTTGTCACTACATCGTAGAGGTGATTGGGACAAAGCGTCTGCCTCGGAATGTTTTCGGCCATATCGGTAAACGACGTGGATGTCGTACTCTTGTAGCCGAAGTGCCCAACGGGCGAGCCGGCTGGTGGGATCTTTTAAGGAGGAGAGCCAACATAATGCATGATGATCTGTAACCACGCTGAATGGGCGCCCGTAAAGATAGGGTCGAAACTTGCCTATGGCCCATATGATGGTTAGACACTCTTTTTCAGTGACTGAATAGTTGGCTTCTGCTTTTTTGAGTGCACGGCTGGCATAAGAGACGATGTACTCATCAAATCCAGGTTTACGCTGCGCGAGCACAGCAGCGAGGCCAACTCCGCTAGCATCCGTGTGTATTTCCGTCGGGGCAAGAGGATCAAAATGTCGCAGTATAGAAGGTGACGAAGTGTGGCAAATGCATCATCACAAGCTGACGACCAACTGGAAAGGTTGTGGTTACCGGCAAGAAGGTCAGTCAAGCGCAATATGATGGAGGCGAAGTTGCGAACAAAACGACGAAAATATGAACATAAACCTGAGGAAGCTGCGAAATTTTTTTAAGGTCTTTGGCTTAGGAAATTCGGCAATGGCAAGGAGTTTCGTCGGGTCCGGAAGAATGTCATCTCTAGATACAACATTGCCCAAAATTACGAGTTTTCGAGCGCCGAAGCAGCACTTCTTCAAGTTGAGCTGTAGACCGGCGGCGGTGAGGCAAGTAAGCACTGTCTCGAGCCGCTGAAGATGCGTTAAGTCGCTTGAACATATCACGACATCGTATAAATAACACAGACATGTCTGTCATTTCAGGCCACGGAGAATGTTGTCGATCATGCGCTCGAAAGTGGCAGGCGCATTGCAGAGCCTGAATGGCATGATGTTAAATTCTTATAAGCCATCAAAGGGTAACAAAAGCCGTCTTGGGGCGATCAGCCTCAGCCATGGGAACCAGCCAATAACCTGAACGCAGATTTAGTGACAAGAAGAACTCTGCGCCTTGTGAGCAGTCAAGGGCATCGTCTATGCGAGGTAGCGGGTAAACATCTTTGCGCATGATCTTATTCAACCGGCGGTAGTCGATGCAGAATCTTATTGAGCCATTCTTTTTCTTGACTAGAACAACTGAGGAGGCCCACGGGCTGTTAGAGGGCTCAATAACACCTCGCTTCAACATGTCGTCAACTTGTTCTGTGATTATGCGACGCTCAGATGCCGATACCTGATACAGACGCTGACGTAAAGGAGCGTGAAGGCCAGTGTCGATTTCGTGAGATACTGTGGAAGCACGGCCCAAAGTCAGTTGCTCGTGGTCGAAGCTGGCGCGGAAGCGCTCGAGGAGGGCGATGATGTCAGTGCGCTGCTGGGCCGTAAGGTTGGTGTCGATGCAGCGCGAAATTGCGTTGGTGAATGATGGGGAAGAGGATGACGCGAAACAATCAACAGCATCAATAGGTAGCGTAGTCGAGTGGTCAGGAACTACACGTGCAGTCGAGGAATCAATGTCATCGGCAAAGCCCAGGCACTCTCCGCACAGTAACTTGGAAGATGAGGGAAACGGATTTGAAACATAAAGTACACTTGATCCATCGTGAACATTCAGAACGACAAAAGTAATCGGGAAGCACTTGCGGTGAACAGCAGTTTCAAAAGGCTTGAAAAAAACAGTTGAGCCACTAGAGACATCACAGGAAAGCGCAACTAGGGCGGACGAGAATGGGGGTATCGAAGTGTCGGCGGCAACGAAAACTTTTGCAGGTGATAGGAATGAGTCGAGTGAAGCAGCGTCGCATAACGGCGCGAACTCCACTTCGGCGCGAGCACAGTCGATGACAGCATGATGAGTGCAGAGAAAGTCCCAGCTTAATATAATGTCATGGGAGCACTGTGGGAGCACTACAAACTCGACGACATATTGTCAGCAATAACGACACGTGCTGTGCGTGCAGCAAAAGGGCGAATTCGTTGCTCGCTCGCAGTGCTCAAAACGAAGTTGCGAAGAAGCATTGTGGCTTTTTTTAGTCGACGGCAAAGTTTTTCAGTCATTACAGACACTGCGGCGCCAGTATCGACCAATGCAATAACAGGTATATCTTCAACGGAGACAGCAACGACGTTGGACGGCGAAAAACAAGGTCTTGTGGAGTTCGAAAGAGCTGCAGTTCTTGCCCCCGGAACTGCGGCTCCTAGTTTTCCTCAGGGACAGGGCGAGTTCGACATAGCATAGGGGAAAAGGAACGGCGTTGAGGTGAGGGCGACCGGTGTCTGTTGAAGTTACAGCGAGGTGAAAATGTGTCCATGGTGGCAGTCTTGCCATATACAGCAGGCTCCAGTCGTGGTGAGAAATCATAATTGTAGGGCCTGACGTCGTCACACAGGAAAAACTCACGCGGTCGACAAAATCAAGCCACGTGACCCGCAATTCCACAGGCGAAGCATGTGGGGCGGTTATGTTGAGTGCGCCAAGGGTTCTGAAAGCGTGGAGGTGGTGGTAGGGAGAAAGGACGGGGCAGCCTGGTACATAGGCTCAGTCGGTACGACAAAGGGGCGCGTGGACGTAGGCGTTCGCGACAAAGAAACGTGGCTGTTCGCGATAGGCGGACGTCGGGTTTTGTTAAGTGCTTAGGCAAAGGTCAATGGAGCAGCCACAGGTGGTGCGTGAGCTGTTGGTAGCGCCTCTGACGCTTGCTCCTGGACTAATCGCTGTATTGATGGCGCTAAAGTAGATGGGGCATCTTCGGAGGTATAAGGCACGAGGGACATCTGGCGTGCGACCTCCTCTCGTACAAATTGCTTGATCTCAAGAAGCAAAGTGGTGTGGTCTATAGCAGTGCCAGCCGACGTTAAAACGGAGATTGTTGCACATGGCGCGCTGGCACGACGAGTGGTGTCACGCTGTTTCCAGAGCTTATCATAGCTCTGACAAAGTTGGATCACTTCCGCTACCATTCGCGGGCTTTTGGCGACAAGCATCTGAAATGCGTCGTCAGTCACGCCTTTCAAGATGTGTTTGATCTTCTCGGCTTCTTTCATGGCCGAGTCAACACGCCGGCAAAGGTCGACCACGTCTTCGATATAACTGGTGTAATTCTCACCATTCTGCTGAGCCCTAGTACGCAAGCGCTGTTCGGCCCGTAGTTTGTGAAGTGCTGGATGGCCAAACAAGTCCGCAAACGTCGTTCGGAAGGCCGACCAGGTGGTGAGGTCTCTCTCGTGATTACGGTACCACAGACTGGCGACGTCGGTCAAATAAAATTGGACGACAGTAGCTTGTGCGCATCGTCCCACTTGTTGTGCTTGCTCACCCGGTCGTATTCGTCGAGCCAGTCTTCCACGTCTTTGTCATAGGTTCCACTGAAGCTAGGCGGATCACGTTGTCGAAAGGAGCCGAAGCAGACAGGAGCTACAGTAGTTAAAGCCGAGGCGGCCGCCTGCTGATCGTCGTCCGTGGACAACGTAGCAACTGGAGGCAACGTACGGTTTCGCAATTCCAGGATTAGGCATTAGCCAGCACTCTCCACCAATTATAATGAGGCGTTTTAGAGTGTCACTCTTTTATAATATAAAACAGGAGAGCGGTCACGACATGTCAAGTGGTAATGGCGGAACTAGCCTGAGTACCCAGCCAACCTAACGCCGTCTTCTTCACCGACTGAGTCATACCCCCTGCCTTTCTGAGTAGCACTCATCTTCTTCACTACAAGTACAAAGTTTCTCTAAGAATGACATAATTCAAAACTTGTGCGGTGGGCTGCCATGCTCTATTCTTACGTACCAAGAGATTCCTTGCAGTTCAAGCATCGTAGCCTTATGGAAAAGTTACAGTTTGCAAGCTGGAGTGCATTTAACATATCCAGAAAAGAACCGGCCCAGAACAGCGAAAACGAAAGAAAGCAGGTCGAGAAATCTATATCTGGTCGAGGACATCTTAGTGGTGTCATCATTGGCAAGCACCAAAACTATTATTGTTGGGCCAATAAAAGAAATGCACAAGGTCCACATGTTTTCAAATGACATCAAAGGATACCAATCAATCCCACGGCCTTTGCTCAAAGGATGCCGAAACTTGGTGTGAATTCAACAAAGCCCAGTTGAATGGTGAATCATTTGTTCATAGAGAACATCTTTCAGCATCTGTTATTGAGGCTGCTAAGCCAAATAATCTGGAACCTAATAAAAAGGACGTGGCTGTTTTATGTTTCTTTCACTTTAACGGAACAACACCCAAGCATAAGACACACAACAGCCGGTACTAATAGTAACAAAACACTTTTACACAAACCACATAAACTGACACACATAAGCAAGTTAGTCCAAGCATAATCAAAACAGTCTCACCGGTGAGCACCACTACTGACGCGAGAGACTGTTTTGAGAGACAAGCAGAGGCCAACAGATGTGAGCATGAGAATGAGGGAGGGTGACACTCAGGTGTATGCACGACGAAGCAGGTAGGTGCCATAGACAGGGCCAATGAAGTGAGGCAGTCTTCTACTCGGATGCGCGGACTAGGGACTACAGGCACTTGTGCACTTGGACACTCGGGCCTACATTCGACAGTGGACTGGGTGGCTGTGGTAGCTTCCCGCTGGCTCTGTCCACTGTCAAAGTTGAGGCCAGGCGAAGCAGGCCATTGTGACTCTTGACCTCTGCCGGGAATTCGGAACAAACCGCCTTTCCCTCTTAATCCCAAATGAACACCCTCTTAGCAAGCACGTGCCACTCCACTCCATGTGACTTAAACCCTCCTTCGTATCCACCCGCAGCTTTTCTTTCTCTTTTGCACCTCTCTAGCTAACCGTGGTGGTGCATTCTTGCATGTACCCCACTGTTCTCATTGTTGTCTTTCACCACTTCACACGCAAGGGGACTACAGACCTTTAGCGCCCATATCACATCACAATGCCTCCACAGTAAAACTCAAAACCTTAACGAGTTGTTGTGTTGTGTGGTTGTTGTGTGGCTCTAGAAAAATATTTTTCTCAGGCACAAACACTGTAGATATGCACTCCTGAGGCTGTGTCCACTTTTAATGATGGCAACATAGCCCGTGTGAATGTGCTGAACTATTTTAAAATTTCGCCAGGGCACTGCACAGTGCAGGGCGTACGCATCCTTGAACTGCATCGGTAGTACTGTGCTCACACGGCTGCATAGCAGGCAACATATGAGGCTTGCCAGACAAGGTGATTCAACACAAAAAGAAAAAATTATATTGGTGATGACACTGATGAGTAGTTGGTTGGTGCCTATTGAACGATTCCTTCAATTTGCTGTTATGTCGTACTTTTGAAATATTGCAATTTTTCAACTTTAAATGCGATTATTTCAAAACATGCTTTTTTGTACTTATGTTCCTCCTTCTCAGCAACCACAGTATCTAGAACCATAGATCTCAGCCAGCATTTGGATTAAGTAGTAAGGAATATGCTGAAGCATATTTATTGTTGTGTGAGAAAGTGCTCTTCTGCAACATGACATCTAATAGCTATTTTAAATTGATAATTATGTATCTAAAGTAAAACATTTACAAAAGCTGAGCATTGCCATTTTCAGTGCTAAAATCTGCTTCAGTAAGAAGAGGAATGGCTCATGATCACAATGACAGTAAAATAATTACTGCCATTTCTATGGTTATGGGGAAAAAAGTACATGAACTTCACCTAAAATACATGGCGGCTATACAGTTTACCCTGTTCTCTTAAATGCACATATATACAATACAATATGGACAGAGGGATAACTACCACTGTAGCTCAGTGATAGAGCATCGAATGCGTTACTCGAAGGTCGCAGGTTCAGATGCTGCCGGGAGCAAGTTATCTTTTCGTCCACTTTTGTTTCTTCACATTTACATTACAATTACTTCCAATAACATGCTCTATACTTTCCCTGAAATTATTGTGTTTGTTCTCATTATAATGGTGTACCTAACAAGGAAAAGAAGTCCTTAAGTTTACACGGGCTCTTTTATGTAGCTTCTCATTTGAGGAACTGATATCCAACAAATCAGATTCTGATTTAGCATTGGAGCGGCAATAAGAAGGTGGAATCACCGCTAGACTCACCTGCAGCAGAGAAACCAGTGTGCTCTTCCAAAGTGAAAGTGAACTGCTTGTGTGAGCCGACTGAAGAAAATAAAATGGTTTTGGACACGGTCGGTATGCACTGCAGTGCTGCAATGCACTTTCTGTGTTAACTGAAATGCAAAATAAGTAAGGCACTACTGTACTTGATGGATCAGTTCCCGAGATGTGCTAAAAGAAAGTCTTTTGGGGCTCGTAATAGATATTTTTGTGGTTGCAATACCCATTGTACTTGAGATCTGCAATGGAAAATGTAGTATGGGGTGTTGAAAAGTTGTGGCAAAGACGCTGCCAGAGATGTGAACTGGTTTGTGGCACCAGTCAGAAGACAAGCATTTATTTTTCGCTTGGCTAGAGAGGAAGGAGCATTCACATTCTGGCTTGCATCCAGTTCGGCAAATGCTTGAATATTTGTGTTGTCTCCATGTCAAGTTGCCACACGGCAGTGGTACAGATTCTGCTTCCTACTCAGGGCTTGGGGCACAAGAAGGCACGGAGCAGCAGCCAACCACAGAGCTGCTCTCCCTTCTTTGTCCTGAAGCGGCAGACAAGCACCGCATGCTCACCCGTCGACTGCGTGAAGCACCAGAAGACGAGCGTGCCTGGTTGGACCTGGTTGCCTTTCAGGACGAGTATGTGGCGGCCATGGAGGAGGCCTCCGGAGTGTGCCGCACTGTCGGGTCAGTCACCTCTTCCCAGGTTTTCGAGGCAGGGCCAACAGTTGTTATCAATTCTTTGTGTCCACTGCACAAAGACAGCCAGAATAGGGTTGTTTGTTCATAATTAAAATTGGCAGCATGCTACTAAGAAGCACGAAAAAATGTTGCTCTAAGAAGCACAAAGATGAAAGCACCGGTCCCACTCATTAGTGCTTATTATTGCATGATTCTTTATTTTGTAATATTTTTTGTAGCATACTGCAAATTTCAACTGCCACCAAAAAATGTCGTCCTGTCGCTGCATGTTCCCTAATCTCTTCATATATCCCGTTCCTCTGCTGCCCTACAATGCCTCTCCCCAATACGTCTAGAAGTTCACTTATGGTGGTGAATATTCTTGTTTAATTTATACAGTGAAGTTTTGTAGCTTGTGGAAGTGTGATGTCATTATAAATGATGCAGAGAACATGCCTGATTGCACGAGTGTTATTTATTGGCTCTCTGTGCTATTGACGTATCGCTGGGTGTTGGTTTCTGGTTGATGTGCGCATCGTGTTGTGGTAAGGACTTCAGCGTCTAGTGGCATCAGTCTCCTCATGTCTTTTTCATAACGACCAGCTTGCTGAAAACCACCTGGTTTTGGGCTGGACTTCAACTTACTCTCATATCGCTGCCGATGTTTGGCTGGTGATCATGAAGTTTGGTATCTTCAGGCCACATCAGGGCCATGCAAAGAAGGCTATGGTGAGCAGGGACAATGACTGGCTTCTGTTTGGGCTCTGCATGGCTATAGGGAACTGACGCTCAAGTTTGCGGAGCAAGGACAACAGCGTACCTGGCCCTGGCGGCGAGCTTCAGAAAACTTGAGGAGAGACGTGGGAGAGGTCGCAGGCGAGTCAGTGTGTTTCGCCGAAATGGGAGCGCGTTTGTCAGGCGTGCTACGTGTTCTGCTTTCGGTGTGGGGAACTTTAGGCGCCGTGCTGTCAGCTTGGCGTGCTAAAACGAGACGCTTGCTGTGCGAAGTTGCCTTTCCGCGATGGAAGAAGCGGCCCCACAAAAGTGTTGATGAGATCCGTGACATTGTTGTGTTTTGGTCTATCATAAAAGTGCAGACAACACCAAGGGACGCTCTCCACGTGTGAAGCTTTATCAGTTTTCCCCAGCAAGTCACAGCCGGCGAACACAGCCGAGTTCGTGAAAGATAGAGCTAGCATGACACAAGAGCCGGAAAAAAAACAACAAAAAAAATGAGGCGAGCACGTCAATTGACTCGCTGTGGTTAAACTTCAGCTCGCTGCTTTGTGGCGACGTCAGCGGGTCATGCATCCACTGCATGAAGACATGACTCTAAACTTTTCGGACATTTTAAGGCCATGACCATGTAACTTTAGTTTTTGTTTATTTTTTTAGCACGCCGCAAATGTTTGCACATTACAGTACATGGCTGCTACTGCTAGATACCACATCAAAAGAACAAATATATGGTTTTCGTAAACGTCAACACAGTACATCGATAGAGTACGCGACTTCATGTCGGCAGAATGGAACTTACCTCAAGGCATACGTCGTACACGGTATTATCACGAAGGACCCAAGAAAGGCATTTTGCGGTGACTCAGGCGTCCTTATTTTACATTGTCTGCTCCAAATCATAAACTTAACTAACGAGCTTTACTCGTTTTGTTCGATTTGGTTCTCGGAGGTGCTTGTCCAACTCGGAGATCTTTATGAAGCCGCATGGCAGGCGGTACATTGTGAGTTGACTCAAACGCAGCGCGGGCTCTCTGCACGAGCACGTAAGCGAGCAGCAGCGCATCGGAGGAGAGAGAAAACGCACAGTATACATCCCCGATTTCTACTTTTCTACCAAAGATGGCACTGCCTGTCCAGAGTCGTAGCCCCTCCATGCGTTGCTTTGGCTTCCTACACAAGGTCTTTCCTATGCTGTATGAACACTATCAGTACTTGTGTTTTTTCGTCGGTCAAGCTCATCATCGTCATCCCTCACTCACTGTCAAAAAAAACTCACTGTCTCACTGTCAGAAAAAAAGGCCTCACTCACTGTCAGGAAAAGGCCTCATCTGTATTTTTTTTGGCAATCAACCCGACCCTGTACTCGCTGCACCCTCATTATTCTTGTAATCGCTTTAATCTCATTTGTCCGTCTAACTTCCTGCCTTTTTAACTTCATAACAGTTTCCTGCCATGACTGTCCCATTTTCTGTTTTGTGACTATGCATGTGGATAAAGTCTGAAGAATGGAGAAACACCTTGATTTGTACTCAACATTAGGGATTGGTTAAATGAAGATTTTGTGAGTTGACTTTATCAGAGTCTTCACATCAGTTTTGCCGGAGTGAGCAGTGGGCTTACAGAAAACTTTTTATTTGTGACAAGAACATCCAATTGGTCCTTGACAAGTTAAGGTAGCTTCTTTTTATTTTGTGGTCTTCCCAAAACAAGTGGCAGCACTATTTCTTGCTTATGATGATCACTGGCCTTGCAATTGACCTTGTTGGTGAGGTAACAGTCTTTTTTAGCGTAAGCTACATTGGCTGAGGTGGAGCACTTCGGCATGGCATAGCTTATTGAGAGCTGTGCTGCACATGCCCAAGGAGCAGTGACGTCACACGGCACACAGCTGGTGGGCCCGAGAAAGCCTGGAAGCTCCTGAAGTGATGTGTCACTAGTGGGCTCACTCACTAGGCCATCTGTTCATTTGTCTATCTCGCATCCGTCCATCCATCTTTCTGTTTGTCTGTAGCTCATGCTACATATATCCTCGCATAGTTGAGCTCAGCCACTGCTAATTTTTTTTCTCCCAAGAAAGTATAATAATGAAGCAAAAAGTAGAGTCCTCAGATTAATGTGTATAGAACGCTGGTACATGACATAGGCGACTTCAGGTCCTGCATAGTCTTGCTGAGTGTTTCTAATGTCTTTGAAAATGAAGTCGTAGTCTGGAGCGCCAAGACGTTGAATCACTCTGTATGACCCATGGCCCGGAGCATCACCGAAAAAGTTTATACTGAGACCACATTGGCATATCTCTGTCCAGATTATATCTGTGCGCTGCCACGCCACGTTGCTGCCACCACTCTTTTTTGGTCACGCCACTCGCAACGTTGCCAAAATCTCGAGAGTCATCACACCACCGCCGTGCAGTAATGATGGCACACTGCCGTTATTCTTTTATTTTAACCGAAATGGGACATCTGGACATAGAATACATTATTTAATTGTTAGAAGCTCGATGCCCTCCATTTCCAGTTCTTCTTCAACATCACTTTGATGCCACAAAGTTCTCATAGCTCTCAACTAAAATTAGAAGAACAAATGTGCTTCAACCTTGCAGGGGAGAAAATAGGAAAGCACGCGCTCAGCATCTATATGCCAACTTCCTTTCAAAGTGCTACTTTTTCAGGCACAGTTACCGTCATGCTCTCTTCGCATTTCCGTTATCTTGCTGAGCTGATGAAAAAAAAAACATGAAAATTCACAAGCGAGCGCACCTAGCGTCCACAAACCAACCTCCTCAGATGACACCTTGCCCTTGCGCTCCATAATCTGGTCAGTTTTGAGCATTCCTGTTTCATATTCTAAGGCTGGCACTTATCCTGGATCTGTCCCCCAAGCTGACTGTCTATTTCGGCCGCAGCTGACCAGCTGCAGTTGTGAGACAGGCACCCCCCTCATTTCCGGTTTCTTCTTCCACAGCATTATCTTTATGTAATGAAGCTTTCACAACTCTAAACACTGATGAAAGAGGCAGAATGCAGTTCAACTAGACAAATGCAGCGTCTACACATACGCTTCTGGGCGTACATCTTTTAGGACGTTTATAAATTGTGGTCCCGTGAGCAATTTAATTAGGTTTAAAGAGGTCTTGCAACACTTTTTCAAGTAGCCATGGAATGGATTCACTAGAAGAGCTGGTTATTGCATTGATTCACCGCTGCAAAAATTTTTACCAGCGTAATGCGTAAAGTGCAAGCGGAGTTACAAAGATTTGTAGTGGCTGCAATTGCTTTCTCTTTTCTCTCGTTCTGGGGAAAACGTTGGAAGCTAAGTTGGGAGGGATGGCACAAGGAAAGAAAGTATGTTACGTACGTGTCGTGACCTTGAGGTTTTTTTTTCTTCAAATGCGCGCCTTTTGAGCGCGTTCGTGCCGGTACCCGAGGACAAGTCATGGCCTCTCATGACGGTTCCTTAACGACTGAGCGCCCCATGCTCAATTCGGCCAGTAACTGTTACAACGCCTGTGACGAGTGAGTTTTGAGCCTTTTTTGTCACTTTTCGAGGGAAGAGAAAGCAATTTAGCTAACTTTGAGAGTTTATTGTGAATTCCTGGCCACATGCTGCGCTATATTATTTGGCTCACATGTTCCCTGGAGCCTTGATCAGCAGCATTTTCTGACCATGCTCAAAAAGCGTTTTAGGGCCCCTTTTAAGCGAGAAAACAGCATAAAACATGGGACAGTGAAAGAGACAGGATGAAGCCCTATCGGTGCAATAATGTGGCCACCTGTCCTAACACACCTGTGAAGGTCAGTACACATTTCCCGCATTGTTGTACAAAATTTGGAAAACACTTGTCTGGAAGCCCGGATTTGACAAGTTCTTGTTTCTGTAAATTTCGTCCACTTTCTCCTTATTACTGGAATGTGCTGGCAGGTTTGGTGCATCAATGTGGTCAAGAGCAAACATCACAATTCACGGCTTTTTTGAGTAAATGAAAATGCTCTGCCGAAATGGGCTGTAGACATCTCCTTTAGTCGAACATATAGAGAATAGCTCCCCAGGAACTGTATCTTTCTCTGCTCCATAAGCCTCAAGAATATTACCTGACCTCAACGTTGTGGCATCCTTCAGCCTTATAGGGTGGTGACATAAGTGACTGGATGGGATGTTCCTGGAGCCTCGTACGTACAGTAGACTCTCGGTAAATGGCAATCTGTTAAACGAAACTCTGCTTAAATGTTACTATTGCCTCTGCAACACTTGGTTTTGGGCTTGTATTC